TTCTGCAAGACCGTTCGGTGAAAGAATTTCTCCCATGTTGTTTTCTTGTTGTCTCTTCTGGTAGAAGCAGACTACCAATTCAGTCTATTCAGTCCATACGCTCGCTATGAATTGCGAAAAGTTTTTCGGAAGGACGTGAGGCCTCTCACATTAAGCATTCTCTCAGACATTTTCAAACTACGCTGTAGTTTGTGAACACAGAACTTAAACTTCATTATTTTTAAAAGGTACGGGATTTCGTCCTCAGATGACCGACTGTCAGCTTCTTAAAAAGGACTCTACCCTCGTTTTACATCATCATCATCATCATACTATTATCAGCCATCCTGTGTTACCACTGGCAAACATGTGATGCTTTGTATGACAAATACAAGCAACAGCTGTCCAATGTCAGAACAGAAAGTGAGTTATTTATCTGAAATACGGAATCTACGTGAGTTTTCGGGGAGAGTGGTTGGAGTCGAATCAACAAGTCTCACGCATGGGATCAAAACAGTTTTGAGTTCAGCTCAACTATGATATACAGCAGGTATTTCAAATTGTGCCCACTAAAGGCAGTTTTTAAATGACGTGACCGTCCAGAAGGGTGGGAAAAATCATAACCGCTTACTTTTAAAAATTCCAAGCTTAAAGAGATATTTTTCGTCCCTCTATTTTCTCACACGTACACACAAATATGTACTTCAATTAAACACATTTACACTTATTTAATTGAAATGTAGAACAACTGTACACTAGTAACTGTTTTATATGCATCTAAAAGTTAAAATTCATTAAAACTTGGATATTTTGGGCCGCACATCGTGTATATGATAAGATCTGAGTCGGGCTGCATATAATATCGAAGAAGGCTGTATGTGGTCCGCAATGTAACGAGGACAAACTTCCTATGTGCATAGGTATATAAGATTGAAAGAACCTAATTATCTACTGCAAGGGATTCAAAAAATTCCGGTGTCACGAATGGAAATTTAACTTCATGGCAGGGTCTTGTGAACACAATAGTGAACCTTCGTGTTCCATAAAAGTTTGGGAATTTCTTGCTTAGACTCGGCTCCAAGTAGTCAGTAAAGTAAAGCTGTCCCACTAAATGCCATGGAGGCGGTTCAGGGGAGGGATGGTATAGCTACCACTCGTTCCTGACCTCGACACTAGATGGGGGTGAGTGGTCAGCGTCACGCCCCGGCCGCGCTTTACCCCTGGGAAAGAACCCCGGTACCCATTGGATAGGAGGCTTGGTGGGCACAGGGACTGGAGGAAAAATCCTTTGTCCCTGCCGTTAATCAAACCCCGGTCATCCCGTAAGTAGTCGGGCACAATAGTGACTCAGCTACACCGGCTCTCGGTTAGTAAATGATATTAAAAATGCGTGACTAACTCCATGGAGCAGAGTCTTAAGGAAGACAAGATTTGCTTGGCTGCTCCCAGCCTTTTGTTGAACTCGAAAGTTCATTACCGTGTTCACAAAAGCCCACCAGTGAAAACTTTCTGAGTCAGGTAAACTCAGTACATTCCAACCCTATTCCCTTGATCAACATTATCATTCCATCTACGCCAACGTCTTCCAAGCGTTCTCTTTCTTTCAGGTTTTCCGGCCAAACTTCTGTACGCAACTATCATTTCCCCAATGTGCACTACATGTCCTCTCCTCTCATCCTCCTTGCTTTAATCAACCTAATAATACATGATGAATAGTAAAAATTATGAAGTTTCTTATTAAGCAATTTTTCTCCAGTCTCCTTCAACTTAATTTCTGTCAGGCCCCCTTTTATCATACATTCCTGATCGACTGATCAAATATCTCCTAAGGCAAGACACTCAGTAGATCTCATAATCCACTTAGCCATGGCATACGGAGGATTATGCACTCACATTCCTGTTAATTTCGAACACGCTGAGAAGCGAACAGCATGTCCTATTGTGACGTATTTGCGATGGCGCTCGCAGCCTCGAAATTACTTGGAAATACACCGGGATTATATTAGATACGAAACAAAACTTCCTTTATTGTCTTTCTCATCTTCGTAGTCTATGGAAAGTCTACACTTGGGTATGTTTTAACCTCTCCTTCCAGACTGTCAATAACTTTGTTAATGTAATGTGTGCAATCAATTACAGAGAAACTCTCTGCAGACAGTTCCTTAATTCGTGAGGCAGTGCTCATAAGATGTTCTGGAATAGCAACAATATTACCAGGAACCTAAATACGAACGATTTAAACCGCCATTTAATGAAACGAATCTATAAACTTGAATTCTTCCGTCTAAACGTCTACAGTTCCATTCTAATTTTTATATCTAACAAAATGGAACTTGTTTCTAATTTCACGTTGATTTCATAGGGCCGTTATGTTACTCCAATAATGCTGTTTATAGAAAAACAATTTCTTAAATAAAATCATAGCGGAGCTACTAACTGAAAGCACACTGTTCTCCGATATGTCACGAACCGGTCTGATGCATAATTATTTTATGGTCTCGTTATAGGGTCCTTCACATACACACACATTTGTTTTTCATACAAAAAGTTCTGTAAAATCTGAAAAAGCAGAACACAAAAAATACACTTGAATGGTCCACTGATACTTGTGTTACTTAACAACACTTTTTTAAACTACTTATTTTATGTGGCGTCAAATAGTATGGTAGGATGGTTGTGAATTACAAACTGGAAAAGATACGAAGTAGTCGTGACCTGATTTAAGATACCATTCCAGAATTGTTCTGCAGGTTTTGAGGAAACCCTATAAGAACAGTAAGTCAGAATAGCCAATTGTTGCATCGGTATTCAAACCCGGGACAAATCCAATATTAAAAAACTGTTACCACGAATAGGCCACCCTGTCTTCCCATACCAAAAAAAGACAAAAATACAGAAAACATTACACCGGAAACCTTGTTCCCTCCCATCCCTGACGCAAGAGGGTGGTGTAACATTAAGATTTCCACTGTAGGCCAATAGTTAAACACGAACCTCTGTCTTGCATAATGCAATGTAGTATTGTATGGCTGGGTTGAGATAAATTCTCATTTTCACTCCGGGGCTATGGAGCCCGACGTACACAGCGAACAGTACAGTAGAGTACAGTACTAATTAGGAGTTCAAATTGAAAATCGTGGCATTGGCCGAGCAGAAACAAGAGCAAGGTTGAGTTTTTCAAGACACCTTCCACGACGCAACTATTACCAAAACCTAATTTGAGATATATATGAGTACAGGGTTATCAGAATGACGTGTCGATTGTGGTATTTTAACTGCGGTGTCATGCAGTCATGTAGGTGGCCACCAAAGTCTCAGAGGAACGTTACAAACCACCAGAAACAAAACAAGGTTTCACAACCCAAAAGACCACAATCGATATATCCAGTGCCGAGAGAAAATCAAATCTCAGGCCAGAATAACGTGATTACCGAATTAAATCGCTTCTGGCCGCTGACGCCATGTAAAAATATAAAGTAATGAGTTTGATTACATTTCAATTTCATGCGCCACTACGCAGTTTCCCTTACGTTGTGCAGAAACAGAATCCATCAATAACGCCAATCTAAATCTGGGGGGGGGGGGGGGGGGGGGTAACCACCATATTCACATACGGCTTTAAGACGTCATGTCCAATTAAGCACAAGGGCATTTGTATTCATTCTGTCCGCAAGCTGGTGACGTAGGCGAAACGCGCTGTTTGGTCCCGACCACTGCATCTTAACGTAATCACTTGAACAATAAACCAATCTCAATAATATCTGCCGATTACAAACCCTTTTCCCACACGCTAAACCGCAGTTCATTGCATTATTTAAATAATTAACTGTAAATATTTGCTGTCATAAGTGAATATGAATAGTAAGTAGCTCTATCCTTTTTCATGCCATCCCAGATATTTCGGCGCACAAGGCTAACCTCAAACCGTCGCCATGAACACAAAACGACATTCGGAATATGTTAGAGTATAATCTGCAATGTCAGTCAGAAGTGAAGGCAGATATGGCTGTCATGCTTCCAGAACTTCACAAACCAGCCAGTTAGGCCCAGCCTAAATGAACACTCGAGCGGTCACGACACTTGTGACTTGCCTAAAAGCAAAGTTTGGCCGTGAAGTACGTAAATGAAGACCGTCCCGGTCAGATCGTGAGGCGCACTAACTCAGCGTCAGTCTATGTTATTACTTGGCAGTCGAGTGATATGAAAATAAGCGCGGCCATGGAGGACAACTGTCTCAGTAGACCAGTAACTGGCATGCCCCATCCTGCGCTACGGTGCAAAATGCACGGTGGGAGAAATATCATATAAAAAGACTAGTTGGATAAGCAAAGAATAAGTGGGAGTATACACGGGTAACATTAAAACTGATCTGTAGAGAAATAATTTGTCAAAGTATAGAATGGACTAAACTGGCTCAGACCAGGCCGGCATGGACGTATGTGATAACAGTGATAAGTTTTCAGCTTACATTATGGATAGGAAATATATTGAAATGTTCAGTGAATACTCTGATCCACGGAGTTTATTAATATTTTAATCAGTTACCTAGCTGTTTAGTTCGCAGAGCAATTAACTTTTTACAGTCTGGCTAACTCCAGTCTGCAGTTAAACAGCGCTGATAAAGTTCAGATTAAACACAGAGCTATAACAAATATCACAGTAATAAACACATCCTATTAAAACCATAATACATATAACAATATTTAAATAATCTAAAAAAAATTGTAGAGTACCCGGTGGAAAACGTGAGTAACAGCCGAATATGTTCACCCATTATACTTCCGTATACACTGTGCGATAAATGCGCAATTATAGGAGTAAACATGATTCAATATTCGCGTACTGCAGTTATAAAACTTGAGGAAATATTGGTACTGTTCAATCGATACCCAGATACACGAAACACGTAGCGCCAGTCGGTATTAATTCACTTACCTGTTGGGACAAACGGCGCTTGTGGCCGATAAAATTACGCACCTACGGGAGCCCATGAACAGACAGACACAGTTATACCACTGTACCTGTTTCACATTGTATGCACGTCTCGTCCTGCTCTCGATCGATCCAGTTGGTCCCCTGATAGGAAGACACCATCGGCCTACATAGTACGCCATGTCCGTTTTCACACAACCGTCCCTAAAAAATAAGTCACCAGTTCACATGCACTTAATACATTAGCCCCGGCCACATTACTTTTTTTTCCAAATTAGATTTTGCAAATGAACGGACCTCAGTAACTACATATAACGTTTCCACGCCAACTCGCCTCTGAACAGTGAACACTGAGATTAACTAACGTGCTGAGACTCCTGTGACTATAAATCAGATGTCTGATCAAGTTTTAAAATCTCCTCATGGTTTTAGGGCATAAACGTGTCACGTTTGGTGTAAATTTAGCGAAAATGTATTGCCCTGCACACATACCAACAACTTAAATTTTGTATGCAAGGTAAAGAACATATAATGTGTGTCATATATCTTGCAGGCTCTGTAACATCTTGTCATCGGCCCCACATGCCATGTGTTTTCGTGAATAGTCTTTTACGAAAATTTATACTGAAAATGTTTCATAAAACGTGCAGCACAAAGTAAAGTATTCCTGGACCATACCACCTAATCAGATACACAAATTTATTGATAGACTAGTAAGTTTAAAACAATTTTATTAAATTTTCGCCTCGTACAAAAAAATTTAGAACAAAGTTTACACAGTTCATAGAGTACATATTGCATGCCGCAAACAGTACACTGCTGTGGCGAGCCGAGTATCACCAGAATTACCAGACACTATTTGCACCCATTTGTGGATGCAGGCCTGTCGGGCCAATGGCATAATTTCTGTAACGCGGTCAGTGTAATCCCATAACTGTTCTTTCCTATAGGAAAAATGTGTGATTTCTGTAGTGTTGAATGACTGGATAATAAATAAATAACATACTGTAAATGAAAGGAAACAAAACAGTTGTGGCGTAATTTCATGCATACTACTCCGGTATGTATCTGAAGGGACTGAGGAAGACCACAAAAAGTACGAGCCGAAGAATCAGGTCGTCGGGCTGAGATCTGAATTCGGGACATTCCGAATACGAAGAAGGGGTGCTACCCACTCGATTCACACGTTCAATTAGATACATTCTTAAATTATAACAATACCTCAAGTAATTAATGTCATATCTGTGTTACGTAAGTTGGAAACAGTCCTGTGGCGCTAATTGTACCGGTTTTTATTTAATCGACACATGAGTATTAATTACATAGGTTATACATAATTCATGCCTCTTTTAGCCCCATCATGCTCGCTACGGCTAGGAAGCAAACTTCGATCTGACGCCTCGGCTCCCATCAATAGCCAACCCCCACATCCGATCTTCAACCCTCCAGCCCTCCCTGGCGGAGTAAGTGGGTCACATGCACTGTGGTGCGATGCAAAGCTCATCACAAAAATCAATACCTTTAGTCTACTACAAGCCATAACACGACGGATCGTATCCAGCCCGCTCTGCTACCCTGCCCGTGAAAACCATGGAGTTAAATCTGTTTTACTGCATGCACCGACACAGCAAAAGAAATTCGCAGAACAGAAATAAACATGTCTCCACACCGGGGAGTACCGCATTGAAATTCCATAATTAAAGCAAAAATTATTCAACGAGATTAAATCAGACGCGTGTGAACTCATAACAGTTTATATATCTGTGGGTTTTGAGCTGAATCGGAATTGGGGGCGCCCACCCTAAATTCAAACCAGCATCGGTTTCTTGCATCAGCCTCCGAATACCCCATATTATAAATGACGACCCATGAAACAGACAACTAAATCTCATCGTAGAAATATCATACACACCTTTGAAAACTTTTAAATAATCGCAGTCTAAAGATGGAATAACAAGATCTCTAATTTCTTTGGAGACTTTTATAAAGAACCATAGATTCACCTTGAATACGCTTATGTCTTGAAATAAAATTAAAAGATTCATAAGTTAGTCAACTCTTTCAATGGAATCGAAACACGAACAAATTTATTTTATATTCAGGTATTTTAAATATACCCGTGTGTCGCTGTTGTAAAGAATTGTTATTCTAAAGTGTTTATGTTTATTCCAAAGTTGGCAGCTGCTATAATAAAAACTTGTAATAATGAAAGGCGCACGGCCATGACAGTGAAAAGTAACGCCCCTCGGCTGTATAGGCCAGCAGCACTACTTGCACGAGACTGCTGCACACGAACTGCATGATTCATGTCATAAAACTTGTTTAATTTTAATTTTAAAATAACTTGCTCTCCGTTGTATCCCATGTCCGTAAATTAATTAATTACTTAATTAAAGCTGTCAAAAGCAAGAATGAATTGTCAAAGCAATTATAATCCGATATTTAGTTACTACCCAACATATTTCAGCTTTGTCAAGTCATCTTCAGGAATATCGTTACATTTTCATTGCCTGAAGAAAACTACTAATTACAACGCACATCAGTATATGAGTATTATGTAACAGTGAAAACATAAAAATACCAGCACATACGTACCACTGATAGAACTCGTTTAATAAGAACAAAATATTGAGAGGTGAAAATTAAAAATGTTATGTAGTAAGTTGACTGATATATCACCTTTAATAGTGCTACAAATCCACTAAAAGATGAGGTTTTTGCTACTACTTTCAGATTTATGTTAATTAAAATTCAGAAGTATGTTAAAATGTCCAAGTACCTCATATATTATTGCAACAACTCCAGCTGATACAAACTTCTTGCTATAAAATTGATCTACATAATACACACTTCACAGCTGAGGCCATCCCTGATTACCTATCATGATCAGGCAAAATGAATTACATTAATCAGGCAAGGACGCAAGTTATGAGTTTTCGAACCGTTCAAATTTCAGTTTATGTTGGCTTGCTGGAACGTACGGTGTTTACTATGCTGTAAGTACGCGGCTCAGAAAGTAATTGCAAAGGCATTCTGGAAACCAAGGCATAAAAATTTGTACTCACGATCTCTGACTTAGTAATCCCAATCGCAATACAAATTTGCTATTTAATGGAGGCATAACGGCGTCATTGGTGAAATTCTGCGAACAGTTTATGACATACAGGTTCTGGAAATGGTCAACCATGCTATTTAAAAACCAAACCAAACGTGAGTTCATTGACGTGCCCTAAATTATTCTGCTAGATATGTATGACTTAAAACTTAACTTCAAAATTACATGGCTAATCGCCCAAGATAACTTCGCTGCATTCAGTGACCGTGAGAGCCTGATATCACAACTTCCTAACTATGAGCGTAATAGCAAATTACGACGTTGCTATGCGTTTATACTTGCTGCATGCTCAAAGCAGGCAATAAACTGTGAAAAGTGATTTGCAGTTTGCTAACCATACAAGTGGATGACACATTTAAAAATTAGCTGCACTGACTATACCTAGCCTCCTCTACAATGGGTACCGGGGTCCTTTCACCGGCCGGGGCGTGATGCTGACCACTCACCCCCATCTAGTGCCGAGGTCAAGAAAGGGAGGAGCTATACCTCCACTCAACCCAAACGCCTACATGACGTACAGTGGGACAAACTTTACTTTACTTTGCTACTGCCAATCTTCATTAGGCAAATTCCGCTGATGACACAAATTTTTATGGCTACAAATGGGAATAACTTATCTTAGTATAAAATTATGTTTAAAATTTAAAATGTTTTCCAATAAGATGGCCGACTTCTGGGTTATTGCGCCTTGTAGTCTGGTAGAAGTTTACCGACGTTTCAGAGGTCCTTGTTACCTCCATCATCCGGGCGACGATGATGGAGGCATCAAGGACCTCTGTAACGTCGGTAAACTTCTACCAGACTACACGGCGCAATAACCCAGAAGACAGCCACCTCCAGACTCACCACCGTAAAAACCTCAAATCCTACATATTGTCCACGTTCCTGAATCCCGAATAATATCTTCCAAAATGATTTACTACTTGAAACATCGAAGATGACTAATATGAACCAACGCGGACAATGTGAAAAGTATTCTTTTATCATATTAAATAATTCAGCCATTAGTACATGTATGTAGTACTTAACTGAATTCACAGCATAACATGACGGGACAAAAATCTTACAAATCCGCTTTTAACAGACACGTTACGGAAAAAAGGTAAAAACTTCAGACAGAGTAGCTCCAGTCCGACATTTTAACGACAGACATAAGCTCCAGATTATACAGAACATCGAAAGCAACAGGTATAATAAATACAACGCTTGGAACTTCATTCAGATCTGAGTGCAGCTGCATGGTTACAATTAAGCAATTAATTATAATTAACTAATGAATTATCGGAATTCACCTTGGTGTTTATTTGTGGGAATTACTGTTAAACTTCTCTGCACCAGACACCACGTTACA